TGCCTAATGAGAGACTGAATGATTTTAAATAGGCTCTAAAATAGGTCAGTGTATTCAGAGTGAATCTACTGCCTAATATTAAGCTTGATTTATTCATTCCATATTTTTGGGTATCTCTTTTTACTTAGGAACCAAAGCAAAAGTCATGAGTGAAAGCTCTTTTCTTGACCTGCATCTCCTCTGGTAACTGCTCCATTTCTCAGGTCTCTAATCCGTTTCGTCTCATTCTCTCTTAAATCGACTTTTTGACCACAGCACTGCACTAAAATAATTCCAAGATCAGTAATGTCCATGTTATTAGAAATTTTAATGGTTATTTCTCAGTCTTCTGTGTGCTTGACCAATTCACCTCACTAAAGCACTTTTTTCCCCCTACTCCATCTGTTTTTTTCCGAATTTTCTAGCTATTTTTACTCAGTATTGTGTTGCTGCTTGTCAAATGAGTTCCAAATACCAGAATGCACTAGCGTTCATTCCTCGAAGCCCCTTTCCTTTCTGACCTTATTGATGCATCTGTGTGCTAGCATGTCCCAAATTTCTCTTTCCAGCCCAGATTTCAAATCTGAAATTCAGGTTCACTTATCCAAGTGTCTACCAGACATTTAGGCCTTTGGCCTTTACTCTGCTAAGGAAATCTCCTGGGAGTCTGAATAGGGGAATGACATGCTATGGCTTATTTTAAATAGGGCCAGTCTGGCCACTGTGTTAAGAGGCAATGAAGAGGCAAGAGCAGAAGCAGGGAGTCTAGTTAGAAGGCTGTCAGGGTCCTTCAGATGAGGTACGATCAGGACATTGGGAGTGGAAGTGGTGGGATATGGCCAGATTCTGAATATATTCCAAAGGTAAGGATTCCAGGATTCCTTTCCAAGATTGGTTGTGGAGTGTAAAGGCAGGAGAAGTCAGGGTTGACTCCCAAGGTTTTTGTCTGAGTGGCTGAAGTGCCATTAACTGAGACAGGAAAGACTGGGGGTGGGGGAGCTTCTGATGGAAATTTGCAGACCTCAGTTTTAGACATGTTATTTGGAGGTGGCACTTTGTGAGCTTCCATTAAATACTTAATTGGTGACTATCTGGAATCTCAGCCCTTCCTTCCCCTGCCAGTTATATCTGCAATAGAGCCCTTTGTGTTCCTCCCCTTCTTGTCTTTGGGCTCGTGGGGTTATAGTTACTTGGCTTGAGCACAAGCTCAAGTAGAATCTGGGGATTCAATGACCCCATGGACAGACAAGAACGCAGTTGTTGTTTAATCATAAGCCCCATCCTTAGCTGCCTCCTATTGCCTCTGAGATGAGGTTTCCCAATGTTATGATGGAAAATGGACTTGCTTTCCAAGGTGATCCCTTTTTGGAGGCACCGGGACTTTGGCTTCATGTATTTTTCTCAGTTAGTTCCCAAACCACCTTCATCCACATTTCACTGTTCAAAAATTTGTTGACTTCTCTCCGTTGTTGTTATTACTCCCCTTCTTAACTTTGGCAGTGTGGTTTGTATTTTTACAAGTGCAAACTGTCATTTCAGGTTTTGTTTTCTTGAGAGACTTGACATAAATGCAAATCTTCTATCCAAGTTAATAAATTTCCACATACTTATTCTTTTAGGATTTTTCTTTTTTTTAATTGAGTTTTTTTAATTCAAATGTACAATTAAATACAATTTTCTGTCAAATAAACATGAACATATTAAAATTTTTTGTTTGTCAAAATTTTTCCTGTCATGATATTGTGTTAATGATTGATTTGTTCTGTGCTCCTGGCTGACTTTTAGAATAGTCCTCATTTGTGAAATTACATTAGCTCTTTAGAATAGTCTCTGTAACATTTTGGACACTCAATAAGTCCTTATTGACAGTATAAATAAAGTATGGAAGAATTGTCCACATTAGATATTCTCATTCATTTTCAGGTTAATTCTCCAGTATTTTATTCAACTGATGTTTATTTATTTGATGGATACTCTCTATGTGTAAGGTGCTGTGGAATGTATAACAATGGTTGACAAATAGTTCCTGATCTCAAAACATTTATGGTCCATTAATACAGAAAATTTACCCAAAAAGAAAGAGATAGGCTGTAATAAAGGGCATAAAAGTCATACAAATAATTTGAAGGGTGAAGGAAGTGAAGAATTTTCTCAACAGGAACAATCAGGATGTCTTTATGAAATGTTGGCATTTGAGAGCAGCCCGGAAAACTTTCCGGGATTCAACATGAAATGGAAGTAATGTCATCCTAAATGAATAGACTAGTAAGTGAAAAGATAGGAAAATGTGTTGGTAAGTATTGATTTAGCTGCATTAAAGTGAATTAAAGAGAAATATCGAATATAGAGCTGGAAAGAATTTGGAACAGATGTGGTTGGCCATAGGGCATAAGACAGAAAGAATATAGGTATTTTCCATAGGTGAACACAAAAGGTTAGTCAATAGGTTATTGCTGTAATGAGATGTTTTCTTTGGCCAGACTATTTGATGGGATTTTGAAATTAATTGAATGCTGGCTGCAAGAGAAATAAGTGATATTACTCTGATATTTGAGCCTCTGTTCTGAGATGGATGTAGATTCCATTTTCAGATATAGGGGAATCAGAAGAAGATAGTTTAGGAAATAAGATAACAACAATTTTATATATATTGAATTTAGAGTAAATTCTTGATAGAAATGTTTAGCAGATAGTAAAATGTGTGGGACTAGAGCTTGGGAAGAAAGGGTCAAAAACGAAGACCTGAAAAAAGAATTAAAGAATGTCATATTCAGTAATCATCTTCTCAGGCTTAACAAGTTTGGTTACACTGAACATTTAGATGTTACCATTTTAGAATCATTTGTGTACTGGTATATTATTGCATGACTCATTTTAAAAGCCCCAAACCATTACTATGTTTAAATTTCTTTTTCATGTTGAAGAAATCCTTGTGCAATCATATCATTTTTACATTTATTTCCTAAACATGAGTTACACAGTATTTCTTTATATACTTTTCTTATTTTTTCTATATGAGTAGATTTATAAGCAGTTTTTGTTGTTGTTGTTTTTATATGGATGAATTATATGGTGGTGAAGTCAGGGCTTTACTGAATGTCACCTGAATAATGTACATAGGTACCTGATAGGTAATTTTGGATCCCTCACTTCCCCTCTACTCTCCCCTCTTCTGAGTCTCCAAAGTTCATTAAACTACTCTGCAGAGTAGTGGTATATTATTGCATGACCTGTTTTAAAAAACAAGTAGACTCATTCTTTAACTCCCACTTGTGAGTACATATGGTATATGTTTTTCTGTTCCTAACACATATTTTTGTAGGACTGTTACAAAATCATTAGTTTTTTTTTTTTTTAATTAACAACCCAATGCTATATTGAACAAATAATTGAAAGGAAAGGCTTATTTTTTCTCCAGGATATCAAAGTACAGATTCTTCCAGATATATTATTATAGTCCAATTTTGTCACCCTTTATTGTTCTTATTCTTAAACTTAGATGATGTGTATTCTGGTATTTATATTAAGATCAACATGAACCAAAGTCAATTTTTTACATCAAGCAAATTAAAGTAAAATTTAGCAATGTTTTACTATTTATAGTTAATTTAAACTTTCAAATATTTAAAATTTTAAACAAGCAGAGGCTTATAACAAATGATAAAAATCCTTATTTTCTCTGCCTTCAATTTTACTTCCCAACAGTTAATATTCCCAAGAGCTTATTATATATTCTCTTTAACTTTTTTCTGTACATAGAGAAAAGCCATCACTATCTTTTTATTTTAATTTGAACCTAACTTTGTATTATTCTAAAACTTTTTTAGCTAAAAGTTTTCATAGCTTATTTTTTATATGTTTTAGGGGAAACAGTGTAGCTATAGATATCAATACTTTCATTATTGCTTTCCTTTGAGAAGTTATCTAAAACTATTAAAAGACAGTTAGAAAACATTAAGGAATTATTATCATACTCTGCTTTGAGCAATTTTAGTGACTCTCAATGTTATTTGTGCAAAGATACTAAAATGTGATTGTAAGATTTTTCTCTCTTTTTTTCCAAATTACCTCTGCTAAAGCCACTCTGCATGTTATTCATCGTAGGCCCCCTTCTAAGATAAGGTGATAAGCTCAGGTAAAGAGTTATGTTAAAAAGTCAGTTGTCTGAAATCCTAGCTGGTTTGGGAATTATGAGTGACTTATAAAGGTATCATCCCCAAGAGGGTCAGAGAAACAATATTATGTCTTATCCGTTGAAAACAAAACCATCCTTTGAGGTTCTGTTGATACATTTGGTTAGCACTTAGAAGAGAAAGGTTTACAATCTCCTGTGGGACCCATGGGTAATGACCTTTTACAATGTCTGCACTTACAGAATAGAATAGCAATATGAATATTTTGTAAAATATATATTTTCTTTTAAAATGCATGATGAGATTTAGTCAAACCTGAGGCACCCAGAGACAAACTTATTTGCTACCCATTCTGATATCTTCTTAGCTTAGATCATCTTTTTATAACTCAAAATCTATTCACAGTGAAGGGCATGCCATGAGGTGTGGATACTCAGATTGGTAGCTGGGAACTCTGTTGGATGTGTTGTTTTCTGAGAGTTACAGGTTTTATTATACAGAGGCATTTGGCAGCCTGAAATAATATGAAGTAAAAATGGTAGGTGGTTTTTTACAAAATAATGGCATCTTATTTAGAGATTTACTTATGAGAAAACTTATTCAGGGTTACTACACTAAAATGTAAATGAGTTAATTAATATACAATCACAACTATAAATTAAACAATACTTTAATAGTACAAATAATGTTTAAACAATATCATTTAATAATATTTCAATGTATTTTAAGATTTTATACTGTGATTAGCAGTAATAATTAGAAATATTAATTGAAGAATGGTAATTTGAAAATTCTGTGTAACCTCAATTTCAATTCCTGAACTTAGATCGTATGATTTTAGTTTGTTTATAGTTTATTATGGACAAATAATTAATATCTACATTTTTAAAAAATATGGAATGCTTCATGAATTTTCATGTCATCCTTGCGCAGGGGCCATGCTAATCTCTGTATTGTTCCAATTTAGTATATGTAGTGTCAAAGCAAGCACAATATATACATTTTTAAATTAGTGTTCACTGATTTTCCTTTTTGACTGATAAGTCGGTAGCATATCTCCATTGAAGTCTTTATCTTCCTTCCTCGCCTTATAGCATCCCCACGTGATCTACATTAACCGACCAACTCAGAGAGTTCTGAGTTTAGACTTGGTTTATGTAATGATCTCTAATCATGAAGCCCTTCAAAACACTGCCATTTTCTTTATGCCTTTAGCCTATATTTCTCCATAATTCACAGAAAAATTCTACTGATCTTGAACAAATGCCCTTTTGCTCTTATTCTATTTGTAACTTCCCTCATTTTTTTGGTCTTTGCTTTACTTAAGAAAGTGGCTTGCTGTAGTTAAAAACTAATAGACCTGGATCTCAATTTTGTCTTATCTTTTTACTTGTCATAAAGTCTTGGACAAGTCCTGAAGTCTCAATTACTTAATTTCTTTACTAAGAAAAGACAGCTCTGTAAAGTTATTGGGAGATTTTATAGATAAAGGACTTAGCAATGCTCTTAGTACATGGCACTTAATAAACATTGAGTAGTCACAGGCAGATGATCTTTGATCCATAACCCTTAGGTTAGATGTATTTTCAGAATTCAGAACTTAGACTTTAAAAGGTATGAATATTCCATACATTACTTAATATTTCCAATAGCATGTGGAAATATTAAGGTCAGATAGTGTTGCAGATGAGTTATGAAAAAACTCATTTTCAAAATTTTTTAATTTTGGAATTGTAGATGAGGGATTAGAATCTGGGAAATTGAAGGGGATTCTTCATTTTTCTTACTGTGAACTAATTTTTTTTTTTCAGTTAGACTACCTACATGTTTTCTAGATTTTCTAAATATGAAACCACAGATACTTTTTCTTATCTTCTATACCACAACTTATCTCCTTCCTTAGGTAGCCTCACAACTTCAGTCCAGATTTCAAATGACTTTAAATTATTCTTTGTAAGTGGTAAAATTATTTGGTTTGGAAAATTCATATCAGATTGAGAATTTTGTTTTCCATGTAATTTGTTAGGATGGAAATATGACTATCTAGGGAGAAAAAGACACAAAAATTATTAGTTTTCATTTCTTTTTTATGATTAAAATCTGACTCCTCTTATATATCTCAAAAGAAGATGTTTTAGCAAGATTTATAGTTAAATGCAGTCTACTAGCAATTTTAGGTTGTGTATAATTTATTATTTTATATAAATATGAGTTTTTTAAAAAATGTAGATTATCTTATTGACTGTTGATATTGCTGTTTTTTTCCACCAGTGAACATCTATCTCAATTGTAGTCTCTTCCCTTCTATCTATCTATCTATTGACTTGGGGGACTTACTATGAGAAAAAAAGTTGTAATTAAGTCATAGTCTGTTGATACATATGTATTAATTAGAATTCATTCTAGTTTTTTTTGTTGTTGTTGTTTTGTTTTTTTTTTTTTGTTTTTTTAGTGTCCTACTGAAACCAAAGCAACATTTGGGGTCCATCTTAAAATAGTAGGAGACTGGACAGGTATGTAGAACATAAAGTTTTCAGATATATGCCTTGTAAATAATGAAACATAGTTTGAATGTGTATAACTACCAACATGTATAGAGATGTATGTATGTTCCAAGCTGTTGTTCTCTTTCTTTTTTGACTTGTACAGTTTTGACATCTATGTTTTCTTCTTGTAAGGCATATTTTTGGAATCAAAATACCTTGGATATCAGTAATTATTAGTAACATATTTTCCACTGTTTATTTGCATATGCTTTCAAATCATAACTTTCTCCCTATTTGTCAGATGTATAGACAATAGTGGGAAGACTGAAATGCATTTCTCAGTAAATGTGATTTTAAAATTTGTGGTTGGTTTGATTCTTAAAATAATCAAAATTTGGGATCTGGATTATATAAATCTTTCAGTTCTTGCATGACCTTCTGTGTTGTCTCTTTCTATATATTCTACAGCTTCTTTGGAATAGTGATCATTTTTAATAGCAGGTCTATTAGTGATACTTTATTTATCTATTCAACAACTACTTTTTATTGTCTAAGAGATGCATTGTTTTAACAGTTCTGAAAAATTAAAAAGAAATGTTATTGATCCTTATATTCCCTTTAACCCACCAGAGTGACTGACAAGTAGATGCTCAGTTGGCTTGTTGGTTGGTTAAGGGAAGAACACAGACATAAATACAAATGCAAACGTAAATTTAAATATTGTCATAATTAAGTGATAAGCAAGGAGATGGCTTGTAAAACTACAGTAAATCACACACACACACAAATGTAGATTTGATGTAATCTAGGACTGTAAGAAAAGATTCACGGAGAAGACAGAATTTGAGCTAAACCTTGGAAATCAGATAAATGAAAAAAGATGTAAGAATTTTTATCCTTGTTCTTTTTAATTATAATGGGTACATAATACTTGCATATCTTTACAAGGTACATATGATGTTTTGATACGGGCATACAATGTGAATTAATCAGACTAGGGTAATTTGGGTATCCATCACTTCAATTACTTCTTTGTATTAGAAACACTCCACTTTTACTCTTAAGGTTATTTTAAAGTATATCCTGAGTTATTTTTTATTGTACTCACTTTGTTGTACTATCAAATATTGTTCATTCTATCTATTTAACTATTTAATATATTTTTGTACCCATTAATCATCCCTACTTTATCCCCTCTCCCCGTTACCCTTCCCAGCCTCTGATAGCACTCTTTTTATTCTCTTACTCCATCAGATCAATTGTTTTTAATATTTAGCTCCCACTTATAAGAGAAAAGCTGTAGCTTATGCCTTTTCTGTGCTAAGCTTATTGTACTTAGCACAAGATTTTCCATATGTTATTGTACGTGGCAGGATTTTATTCTTTCTTATGGTTATATAATATTCCATTGTGTATGAGCACAAATTTTATATCTGTTCATCTGGTGATGGACACTTAGATGGATTCTAAATTTTGGCAATGAACATGGGAGTGCAAATACCTTTTTTACATACTTCTTTTTCATCTTTTGGCTATAGATATAACCAGAGGATTGCTAAGTCACATAGTAGTTTTATTTTCAGTTTTTAAGAAACTTGCATGCTGTCCTCCATAGTAGTTACACTAAATTACATTCCCACAAACAGTGTACAAGGTTCCCCTTTCTCCACATTCTTGCCAGCATTTGTTATTACCTGTCTTTCTTTTTGATAAAAGCCATTTTAACCTGGGTGACATATCTCATTGTAGTTTTGGTTTTGCTTTTCTCAGATGACTAAGGATGTTGAACATTTTTTTTCATATGCCTGCTGGCTGTTTGTATGTCTTCCTTCGATAAATGTCTATTCAGATCCTTAGCCCATTTTTAAATCAAATTATCTTCCCGTCAAGTTGTTGGAACTCTTTGTATAGTCTAGTTATTAATTCCTCGTCAGATGGGTGGTTCCCCATTCTGTGGGTTGTCTCTTTGCTTTATTGATTAATTTTTTTTGCTATGCATAAGGTTTTTACCTTAATGTGATTCCATTGTCCAATTTTGCTTGGATTGCCTGTGCTTTAGAGGTATTACTCAAAAAGGATTTGTCCAAACCAGAGTCCTAAATTTGTTCTCCAATGTTTTCTCTTAGCATTTTCATAGTTTGGGTCTTAGATTTAAGTCTTGAATTCATTTTGATTTTATTTTTATATATGGTAAGGGATAAGGGATCTAATTTCATTCTTCTGCATGTGGATAGCTAGTGTTCCCAGCACCATTTATTGAAAAGACTGTCTATCTCCACTAAATGTTCTTGGGAGCTTTGTCAAAGATAATAAGTTCACTATAGATGTGTGGATCTATTTCTGGATTCACTATTGTGTTACAACAGTCTAGGTGTCTGTTCTTCTGCCAGTACCATGCTGTTTTGGTTACTACAGCTCTGTAGTATGAATGTGATTCCTCTAGGTTTATTCCTTTTGAAACAATAACTATGACTTTGTCTCCTCTGGGTCTTTTGTGGTTACATATAAATTTTAAAATTATTTTTTCTATTTCTGTCAAGAATGTCTTTGTTATTTTGATGGTATTTGCTTTAAATCTGTAGATTGCTTTGGGTAGTATAGCCATTTTAACAATATTGATTCTTCCTATCCATGAATAGGAATATTGATTTTTCCTATCCACAGAATAATATATAGAAATTTTAAGTGAAATTCACAGCATTGTCAAAAATCAAGGGATGTAATGATTGAACTATACTTTGGAAGAATGAATTGATGAACTGTCAAGCAATCAAACCAAAGCAAAGTCAATCCAATTAAAAACGAACAAACAAACAAACATAAAACCCTAAAAGTCAATCAAACAAAATCAAAGATTTTGTGCTAGGGAGTGGGCACTTTGGGACAACTTGGTGAAGATTATGAATGTCTTGATAAAATATTATAATAATCTAGAGACTTTTGGGGAACCTATGAAGGATTTGGAATGCCATAATCAGTACAGTATTAGTAGTTGCTTGTTGTATGTATCAGAATCAAGGGAAGATTTGTAGGTAAGTACGTGAAAGTTGAAGAGAAGGACTCAGTAGAGGGATGAAGATGAAAACTGGAAGGACTGACTTTGTGAGCACGAGTTGATAAGTTGGCACTGGAAAGGAGAAACTAATTCCATAAAAATTAGGGAAGGATAAGATGTTGAGTAATAAGAAATAAATATTGTGGGATTAGGAGAAGGGTAGTTGATATAAGAAGCTTATGTTATATAGTTTAAAAAGAAATAACGGTAGTATGTGTAAAGTTTGCTGCCTTTAGAAAAAGAAACCAGCGTGGAATTAGAGACTTGAAAAAAACAAAGAAATATATTCAAGAGAGGATTTAATGGATAAACAACTAAATGAATCAAAATGATCTTTGAACAGTAATAATCTATTTTTAATCATGAAAACAGGTTTTCATAAATAATATTCATGTAGTAGTATTCAAAAAGATCATTGTCATCCACTGATGAGAAAACACTGGTGTAGCATGGATGTAGTCCCTCTCATGATATGCCGTGAACCAGCAATTTTTTTTGCACTATTTGGGAAATACAGAATAAGGGAAGTTTTTATTTGTCAAAAATCCCCAATGTAACCAGAATTAAGTTCAGTAATAAATTGTAACTGATAGAATTCAGATATAGAATTCTGAATTCAAAAACAGATTTAATTGATAGAATTCTATATCTGAATTCTATATCTGAATTTTATCAATTAAATTCTTCACAATCTGAATTGTGATGGAGAAAAACAAGCACAGTGAAGACATAATTTAATTCATAACAATAAACAGAAACATTTTGATGGTTTATTACTAGCTATTGTTACTGAATTTTCTCACAAAGTTATTGTCTATCATCAGTAACTCATTAAAATACATGAATATCTCCACATTTATTTTAATCATCTCTATTAGGAACACTTGCTATTGTAAACTTTATCCTTTCTCTAATGGTACTATGTCATTGAGAGAAACAGAATCATTCTATTTAGTCAGTTCAGTTCTAGTCAGCTGCTTTTCAATTAATGGAACTTTTTTGTTGTTGACTTGGAAAAAAAATTGAGCATTCATGCAGAGAACCTACAAATAATTATGTCACTATCTGACACTTTAGTTCAGAACGATATTTAGTTGCCTTAAAACAGTGAGATTATAATTATTGAAAGAAAAATAGGAATGCTACCCCTGAGATAAAGGATCACTAGTTTTTACTCTAAACTGATTGATTAAAACTCAGTATTTACAGCAGTAGGTATAGGACACATTAAAGAGGTGCTTGTGAGGTTTAATATCAGATTTATTTTTTAAAACTGACTTAAAGATAGCTAATAGTGACTTTTCTTTGTTGTGAATTGGCAGTGTACAGGGACTAATGAACAGGTTTAAGATGGCTCAACAAGTGATCTTGCCAAGACTGATCCACTCCACACAGCTCTAGAGTGCCACAGAAGTTAGTGAAACAGATGTACAGCACAGGACAGGAGTCAAAATTTCATAATTGGAGTTTGACAGCACATATACTAAAATTGGAACCATACAGAGAAGATTGTTTGAAAATATCTTGGTTATCTCTTCTTTAAATATGATTACTATTGATTAATGTCTGAGATAATGTTATACTGTTGATTACGTTAGTGATCTAAATAACAACTTATTACAGAGAGTTGTGAATTTTGCTACAAAAGTATTATATGTAATATCCATATGTAATTAATTGAAAATTTTTGCCATTGATCAATTCAATAATTAATGAATAAAGGGTCTTGGTATTATTACATAACAACTTTTCCTTGAATCTTAGTTTTCATGCTGTCCTCTGGAAAAGCTTTCTACATTCAGAATATATAGTTAACTGTGAGCATGATAGTGGGAAAACAGGACCATAACATTGTAGATTTATGATCACATAATTTTTTGACTCCTCAACATTCAAGTAATCTTAGATAGAGATTTAGCAAAGGATTGGATGAAAAAGAGATGATAAATCTATCTGTATATATTTCTATGTA